GGAGGTCTTGAAACACCTAAAATTTTAACAAGCCCCCCACTGCAACCATTCTTCTACGAGGCACGGGGAGCGGACAGACACGTCGCAATGGAGGCTGAGTAGCTGCCGGATGAGCGCCAAAGTCCGGCGTTTCTTTGCATTCCGAAGCTCAAGGAGGCTTTACGCATTTGTAGGAAGGGCTGGTCCCCACTTCTCCCCAACATAGGAGCTTTTGCCCACTGCAGGAGGTGCACACACTGAATCCTCGCTCAAAGGTGGAAACAAAATGCAGCTCCCGCTCTCAAGCTCATCTAGTGTTTCCGTAGTTTTTACTTTACTTAAAGATCCCCGTGCCATAGGGCAACGCAAATGTGACCTCTTTCGATTGTATTTCCTCCCAAAGCTTGGAATATGCAGGTCTTCTAAGGTTTGAAGATCGTTCAATAAAACTTAATAATTCCCCCAACGGTTTTCAATAAATAAATAATAAACAAGCAGTGTTTTGGAGTACTTTAAGTGCACATTACTTGAAGTATTACTTGATGTAGGTTTAAAAAACTTGTACTCTAGTTGAAGTACATTCTCTGGCCATGTACTTGTACTTTACTAGAGTATTTTTTCTGGTACTTTTCGATGAAAGTACAACTTCCGACTTCATAGTACATTTTCCAAATTTGAAAACAAAATATGCCGTACCGTTGTGTGAAAACGAGCTAACATCTTTCGAGACGCCGTCTGGTCATTTTTCCGAGGGAAGTAACCGCGGCTATAAGACCAATACAAATAAGTGCCTTATAAGTTGATTGTGTTAAATAGTTCGTCAGTAAGTTAAAAAAAAATCTACCCTGTGGCGACTTGCCTTTATCCAATATTTGCCACCGCTTTCGAAAAATTACTGATGAACTTCCGATTACCCCTGGAACAATGCTTGCCAGTTAAAAAAAAAACACTATCAAAAGATAAGAAGGGCATCATGGAAGATTTGGTTAAAAAGTACTGGTACTTTACTTTGAAAGTAAATTATATTTATAGTACTTTACTTCAAGTACATCGCAACCGGTCTACTTATTTCTTTACTTAAAGGACAAAACCTTCCATTTACTTTGTACTTTACTTCAGCTACAGTGTTTGCTTGTTTACGCAACACTGTAAACAAGAATTTCGTGAAGAAGGAAGACCAGCGCAGCTGTACTCGATACACTGTGTGCTTCTTCGTCGTCGTCTGTTTTTCGCCCTGTTTCCTACGATGAATTCCCACCAACGCGCCCAACTATCCATTATTCTATTATAGCTGGAAAGGTTGGCGTCATCTATGAGCGACGGCGGAAACCATACTGGTTGTGTGCTTGCCGCTGTCGCTTATAGATGGCGGTAGCTGTCCAGGTAGATTCGTGTCGACATACCGGACACAATCCTGGGGAACCTAGCCCTTAACAGCTCCGCTGTAAAACACTGTCTGCGAAATAAAGCTCAGGCACCGCCAAACCTCAAAGTAGAATTGATAGATCTAAGTACATCACTAAAGAAAAAAGTACAAAGCAATTAGTTACGCAGAAGCAGAACCAGCTATTAAAGCATTTCTGTGAAAATGCAAGCCGCTTTATATTTAAATTGCAGAATTTCGCTAACGGATCAAAAGGTGTATGTACTTTGTTGTTACCGCGAAAAAAAAAATTAAATTCAAAATGCTCTACTTTTTATGGTAGTTAGTAATTTACTGAATTAATTTTCATTTGAGAAATTTCCACTCTTCTCAGATTACTTTTGAGACCAATACTCCGTAACTTAACTTGATCACTTTTTTGAGTAACTTGTACATGCCTGGACCAGTCCGACAATTTCAAAAGCGCACCATCATCATCTTTCTGTATATGTTATATCATCCCTGTACCAATCAAAAATAAAAAAGTCCAATGACTGGCGTTTTCGACGCTTTTTATATTTGGTCTCATTAGCTCGTAGCGTCGACTGCGTCTTGACCTAAGCTGAAACGAAATATAGTGTGCTCATTGACGACCTGCGAGAGAATAAAATTATGGCAAACGTCACTGAATCGAAGATTTTCGGTTGGGTAGGTGGCTGATAGTACCGATAAGTCTGATCCCTGAATACCCGCCTGGTTGAAGTGACCAATGTGCGAAAGCTTGGATCGAGGGATTGTATCAGTAAGAAAATGATAGGCATTCATTGATGAATGATGAAAGAAGGTATCGCTGCAAGGAGGGTGTTAGTATACCCCAACAAGGACGGGGGAAGAAGCAGAGCTGCAGCGTAATCAAGCATTTCCAAGGATGATGAAATATTGACAAAGGTGCAGGCAATATTCGTTTTAACTGCTACTAACACCCCCCCCCCCCCCCTCGCTCACCCCGACCGATTGTCCTGTCTTTATGTGAAAATTTGTAACCGGAAGTACCCTGTAATTCCTCTGCATCGTCAATACCAGAGAAAAGCCATGACTCTTTAAGGACAACAAGGTCTCAGCCTGGAGAAGAAATTAGACTGCCCACTTTTCCAAGTTTCGGTATAATGCTTTGAATATTAGTAAAAGAACAGATAAATTGAGTGGGCTCTCGTTTGTAGTCGCATTAACTGCAGTAGTAACTTGACGTATTGATAACTTTTGCTCTGAATTGCGCCATATAACTCGCCCTAAAGTACAGACGAAAATATAACGCGAGTTTCCATAGCAAGGTGATTGTAGGAGAGTTTAGAAGGCAGGGGTTGTGGGAGAGCAAAAGATAAGAGTTGTCGCGGGCCAGATGTTCTTCAGGAGAGAAGTATTCACTCACGCTGTAAATAATGTTCTTAAATATGAATCCCCTTGACAGAAAAATTTCTGTTACGCTCAATAATGAAAATATTATGATCACAGGTCTATTTTTTTCTTCAAAACAATTCACCAATGCGATGAGAGCGCTCTATATAATCTGCATCAATCTGTATATCAAGATGCCGAGAGCAATGTTCAATAACAATGTTCTCTAATTCCTCCGAAGATTCAGTGGGATTGTCTTGCAAACGAAAGAAAATGAGATTGTTTTGACGAGATCGATTTTTAGCACATCAACACACGCCGGAAATCTGCAAGTTTGATGGCAGTCTCGAGAGTCATCAAACTGAATTGGAGACTGCGAACTTCGACACGGACAGCAGGAAGGGGGGAAAGTTCTGTTTCTATTCCAGCCATCCTATTCGAGAGGTCACCGACGTTTTCGTGTGTACCGAAATGCTAGTTTTTATTGATTAAAGTTATATTATCAGGGCGTCTTGTTCAGCATTGACATTAGCCAAAGCTGCAAGGACTTCTGAAGAAGAAGGCGTGTTGAGCTGGCAACTAGAAGTACTAGTGGTCGTACGAGTTTTGGGATCGGGTCCGGAATTTTCTTCGGTATCACCGAATAACACTATGAGCTTGTTAATTCCGTCAAAACATCAGCAAACCATTTCAACACAGCAGCGCGGGCTTGGAAGCTGTACTAGACAAACATTGTTATGTTTTAGGGCGAACAAAATGATAGAACTACGCACTTGCAGAGCAAAGACGTGTACGGGTTGTGAGCGAACCGCAAACGTAGTGGCGTCACCAAGCCCAAGCAGCGGTCCGTGCGTTGCTGTGGCTAATATGGGTTCCCGGTGTAACGCAAAAGATTACGTTCTGTTTAACGATGACCGGCAGGTGGCTTGTGCTTCAGCAGAAAACTTGGCATAGGCGTTGTCGCTCCAAAGATTTTCGCGGCATCTGGCCCTTTCTTGATGCTGAAGGACAGGGGTGCTTTTCAATGGTGCCTCCGAGCGGAAAACACAAGCGAAGAGTGCCTACAGAGCAAAGACGAGCGGGCTCTGAGCGAACTGCATAAGCCCGAGTCCCACTAGAGCGACAAACAGAAACAAACGACAGCGACAAAACTCAAACACATGCAGCATGCTCGCTATAGTACCTTTGGCAAGCGTTTAGTCGTTCGGTGCTCGTGAGGTAAGCACGAGTGATAGCAAGCCTGCCAAAGATACCCTCGCGTGCATGACGCTCGTGTTTGTGAATAGCCACTTTTATTCTACAAAGTCTGTCAAATCGCGAAAGACTCATGTTTGAGGCATGTCACTGTCATTTGTTTCTGTTTGTCGCTCTACTGGGACTCGAGCAATAGTATCGCAGCCACCAAGCCGAAGCAGCGGTAGATTGCGAACAATAAACCTTTGTGTTCATACCCTCATTAAGCAAGGGTTTGGTAGGTTGCCTTTTCTGAGTTTGATTATGATTGACTAGCTGGCAATCTGAGGCGTAGGACGCCCCTAGAATTTGTTCAGCGAAAAACATAGGTGCAATATTTTTTGTTTAATAAAGGGCAGTGTAATGTAGCTAATAGTTTGTTCAGGTGTTATGTTACGTCACATAAAAAATGAGTCTGAAAATGAATTGGAAGCAGACAGCTTATACACCCTCTTAGGGTGAAAAAAAACTCTTTTAACAACCAAATTAATTTCTGGCAAGAAAAATAGAAGCTTGGCGGATTGCATTTCTCACCATGAAATAAAAAAAACTGTATAAGATCAGACATTTGAGCCATTGTACTTTACTGTGAATAACGATATTTCCACGTTGCAATTTGGTGACAGTTGTTTTTTAACACAATGTAGGTCTTCGCATCGGAAACCTGAAACTAATCTCCATATTATATAATTACTTTACTTCTTCATTTATTATTTACAAATATTTTAATTTGAGAAGAACACCATGTTTGTAGCGATCGTCAAATAAAATTAAACAATGTGTGGGTGTGGCTCGCGAGGTAGTATCCACGGTCTGCGGGAAGGGACCGGAGTTTCCGTTAAAACGTGATAACTGCGGAAATACATCCGACGATCGAGTTCCGCCAGGATATGGGGTCTTGTCGGCGGCCGAGAAGAAGAAAAAAGAAAAAAATGTAAAGTCGGAAATCCGGGAAAGCAAGCGAAGTGACAAAAAAAAAGGCAATCCTTAGCTTTTCCCGTCTTTAAGATTTAAGCCGCCGCCATCTGTTCGAAGAACTCGGACTTGGGGCGTGAAGGGACTCCAGTATCGAGACTATTTCGGTTTGAGGCTGCAACTAAAGGTGTTGGTTGCGCCGACTCTAGAAAAACACGAAGTGCAATTTTTCACGTGTTCAAAAGAAACGGATTTCAAGCTTAGTGTACTAGCCTTGTCCTGACAAGTTTACGAGAGCGGTGCAGCTGCCAGCGTGACGCAAGTAGGAAGCCCGGTTGTCGCTACGGAGAGCCTAGGGAGGTGCTGGACCGACAGTAGCGAAATAGCGTCAATATAAATAGAAGCAGCCTGTCCATCAGCTAAGCAGTGCAAGGAACGGAAGGCTTGGGATTCCCAAGATGGCCAGAATTCTTCCGAAACTTGTAAGTAACCTTATAGTTTTGCTTTTCTGTTGCAAGTGTATTATCAAAATTAAGGAAGTGTACTTTAATTATCACTGTGTACTCATAGTTGTTGTTTTCGCGTCTGTAAAAATATATATGAAAAAAATTGTTTTAATATTCTTATTTTTTTAACTGGTTCCGTTCGACACAGCAAATCGTGTATCGCGTGATGCTTAAACAGGCACAGAATAAGCCTACGTGCTACGTTTCTTCCAGTGACACAAACTTCAAGATGTTTCATTAGTTGTTCATGAAAACAAATGTACATCGCTAGTTATTCTCAGTTTTGTTACTCCATGTATTCTCTCCTAAGTGATTCACAAACTAAAAGAAATACTTGATGTGTTAAAAAAAAAAAAAACGTAAATCGACAGTTCAGGTCAGATACCACATCTTCAATGCCTTTCCCGTTATTATGGATAACGATGCGGCCTTTTTTTTATCCGTGTAAGAAAATCAATGCGTGCTTTGCTAAAAAAAAACAAAAAAAAACATTATTTTATTACGCTCTCAGAATGCCTCACAATTAGTTTCAAGCTAAAAATGTTTTGTGGTCTCAGTAAATTAGGTTCAAACAACTTTATCCAGAGTTTGTATGTAATTTTAACTTGCTGCATTTCAGATTCTGGGAGTCACGCTGCTGCTTCTGGTGTCAGGAGCTCCTATTCCCGATGAGCCTCAGCCAGGAACCGAAGAGGAACACTTTTCTGGAGCTAATACGCTAAATTCGGGTTCTCCTTCCACGGGACTCTTAGAACCACCAGGAAGCAATACAGCCGAGTTTCCGGCTGAGGATGATGCTCCCGTAGACATGTCGTCTGGAGAAAGCTCAAGCTCAAGTTCAGATAACTCAGATAGTTCTGATAACTCTGATGGATCATCTCAAGAAGTCCCAGCGGAAAACCAAGGGTCAGGAACACCTGATGAAACTCCTAGCGGAGAACCAGGGGTCCCTTCTGAAGGTCCTACAGACCTTACAAACGAAAGTGCCGGCGTTATTCCTGAAGGATCTGCCGGAGCGCTACCACTTCCAGCTGAAGAAAGTTTACCTCCTGTACCGCAAGCTGCCGATGGTGCAGTAGTCCCCGAAGAAGCCCCCGTTGTACCAGCAGTCGCCCATGGCGCCGGAGCACCAGACCTGACAGTTCCACGAGTTTTTCCGCTTGAAAATCCCTCAGGAGCGCAGCCCTTTTTGCCAGGACACAAATTAGTGCACGAGCAGAAGACAGAAGGCAGTCAGCAGGACTCTTTCAGCGAGGCTGAACAAGCGGCGGCCCAGGCGAGCGGAGCATCGGCATCTGGGAATGCTGTGAAGAATGTGCATGGTTACTCAAATGAAGGAGGATTTCGAAAAACCGACGGCTTCTCTGAGCAGAGCGAGAATAGGTACGGCTCGGGAAACTTCCAGGGCAGCGAAGGCTTTGACCAAACCAGCAGCGGACACCAGGGTTCCTTTGCGGTTAAGAGCTATGGTGTCCACGGCAACCCCAGCTACGCGGATGCCCTGAAAGTCGGCTTCGTTCCATGAAAGAGTGAGAAATACGTATTGTCAATATTCTTATGTCTTGGCGCTAAGTGCTATTACAGATGTTACGACAGCACTATTTGACCGGGATGCCGAATGATTGGGTCAAATTTCCTCCGACTCTCCACTGATGCCCGTGGATGAAGTACTGTACTACCGTAAATTAGGTGGTAGAGCCGAATAGTGGGTATTCCAGTAAAATATCATTTATACCTCTAAACGTTGTGTTTAAAATTTGATTCGAATGTGGATTTAAAATTTAAAATTGATTAATTGTGAATCTAGAAAGTTTTGATATCATATTATTAAGTTCTTAATGATAATTATGTTAGTATACAGGATATTTTTTTTTTACTCTCAGATTTGTTTATACGACCCGGGGGACATAGTATAGGGAGATAGTCGAAATTATTAGTCTGCTAATTAGGTAAAATTTGTTAATTAACATTTTAATTATCATAAATACACATATAGTTCAAATTAGAATCTTGCTGAGCATCATCAAAAACCACTAAATGAGCACTTTTTAGAATGAAATAATGCCGGGGCAGCATTTCACGACGTTCTGTAAAAACGCTTCGTTTGGATGCGTTTCTAGAATTTGGTGTCTTATCGGAGCGCATCTATGCGCCCGCGGTCCTGCTCCCCAGTGGCTGAGACGCACGACATACGTGAGCCTTACTTCCCCCCCTTCTACGAGGGCGGCGAGGGGCTTCGCGCCGCGAGCACCGGGGAGCAGGACCGCGGCCGCCAAAACAATGCGCTCCGATAAGAAACCGAAACCTAGAAACCCGTTCAAATAAAGTTTTCTTACAGAACGCCGTAAAATGCTGCCTTGACGTTATATCTTTCTAAAAATAGTTCATTTAGTAATTTTCGACGATGCTCAGTGAGTTTCTAATTAAAACTATGCCTATATGCAATAACTAAAAAGTTAATTATCAATTTCTACTTAATTAGCAAACTAATAGTTGCGACTATCTCCCTATACTATGGCCTCTTGGCCGTACGGCTCACCAGCACAAACCGCATTTTTAACGGGTTTTTTAAAACAAATCTGAAAGGTTAAAAAAAAAAATAAAGCTCTATTTGGTTTATTGGCTTACATAAATATCTACCATACAAATATCTGGGTACATTTTTGATTAATACAGGTAGTGGTGTTTGAGGACAGTAATAGTTACTGAGACATATTGTTGAATTAACAGCGCAAATACGACAAGGAAGGATAGACAAGGAAGACAGGATAGATCGCTGAGACAAAACGGACGTTCGCCAAACGTTTCATTTAATCTGTTATTCTCTTGACAATAATTGCAATTCAGACCTCCTGATTCTGCTACTTGCAGTAATTTAAAAGAAACTTGGGATTCACGTTCGGCTATATATGTCATAAATTTGAGCTCTCCCGGTATTAGTTGCCTTGAATACAAAAAATGCAAGGGAAGCTTTACTTTAAATACTTTAAAATACTCAAACATTTGAAAAGAAGTAGTTAACAAATTGATGGTCCGTATTTTTTTTCCATTTCAGGCCCCTTCAACGTGACGCCAAAGACCATCTTAATATTAAACACACCATGCGTTCGCACAAGGCGTGTGGAACATCAAATAAAGTTGTTTTTCCCTAGTAACATTGCCTCGAATACTCTGAGTTTTCGTTTAATGGGCATTTGGACGCTGACCTTAATCTGAATCCGGTCGTTTATTAGAAAAATTCACCAGGCTCACTGAAACTTATCTTTCGATCACTGCTGATTTATTTCAAGGCAGACAATGGTTCAGGTAAAGCACAAACAAAAGTAGCGAAAACAACTTTAACGTATTTTTCAAAATGTTTCGGATTTAGTCTTGTCTTCTGTCCAAAGATGGCTGTACCTTCCAAACTCGACAATTGCCACGGAGGCCTCTAAAAACTTTTCTCTGCCAGGCATCACAGCTGCGTTTGGCGACGTTGAGTCGATGCGGAAGAACGCCTGCGACGATCATTTTCCCAAAGATCAAAAACCAAAGACTGACATCTCTTGGGGCTTCCATTATAAACGCATTTTCACCCAGGCGCGGCGTTCAAGGCAAACCGGTCATCACATCGCGTCTCGAGCACTGTCACAGTCCATTGGCTCCTGCGCCTAAACAATCCGGGGTTGCTAAGAATAGGCTCGTAATATCCAAACTTCTTGGGAGTTTGATGTCCGCTTCCAAAATGCGGAATGCATAGGTCGACCTTGCGATAAGTAGCAGTGTAACTTACGATTATTGCCTAATAGCTACGCTGTTCGTTCGTGCGAGTTACGGATGTGAAAAGGAATACCAGAAGGCTATCCAGAAAGGAGTGGGAGACGCGCGCGATTGAACCGATAAGCGCCCAGGGTGATTCGAATTGGCACAGAATTAACGTACGGAAGGACGCAGTTGTCGTATAAAAAGCGGCTCGCGCGAAGCCGCGACGGTTCTCACTGTGTACACACTTCCTGGAGAGAAGCCGCGGATTTCGGCAGATTCACCGATACAGCGTAGCCATGGTCGGCAAGGTGAGGAGCGCTTTCGTTGAGGTTTTTGATGGCTTGACTTGGAGACTTATCGAGTCTAAGAATTTTCCAATTTCAGGGAACTTATAACGCAAGTAAAAACTGTATTCTTCTAGCGAGTTTATTTGGCTTTTTCTTAATATACTATCAGCACACAAAATACGTAGTGCTCTGCGGCCATTCGTCTTTATTCCCAAGATATTTGGTGGACCAGATTTTGGTGCTTTGAATATATATGTGTCTAATCCTTATAACCCCATATGTTTTGTATGTCTGTCCATTCAAACGAAAAAATATAAATTATCAATTACTTTCGCAATTAATATATCTACGTATTTTGTAGATGTGTACGGTGACGCCGTACTTACAAAGGAATTGTATTTAGAGATATAACTTTATAGATACATTCGTGGCCGGTAATAAGAACCTATAGAGTAGTTAATTGAAAACGATGAATGTGAAGTTTAGCGCTGGAAAGTTATGTGCGGAATTATGTGATACTGTATTATCGTCAGCATTCGTATTTTAGTAGAATCTTCATGATCATCATCATAAGATATCAGGATAATAAAACCGTACCAAGCAATTTATCTACAAACTTCACTCTATGCAGCTTATTTATAAATGTGTATCCCATTTCTTGATATGTACACATCGGGTAGCGTAAAACCATAAGATATAGAGCAGAAGTTCCGGTGACGACTCTGCTCTGCAATCATTCTGTCTATTCTGGTTTTCTTTTCGCGAGCAGGTCATCCTCTGCCTTGTAGTAGCCCTCTGCTTCAGCCAAGTTTTTTGTGGCTACCTTTACCGCGGTGGCGGTTTTGGTGGATTCGGTGGCGGATACGGCGGTGGACTGTACCGCGGCGGAGGATACCGCAGTGGAGGATATGGCGGCGGTGGATACGGCGGTACCAGATACCTCGTCGGCGGATACGGAGGTGGACGATACGGTGGTGGAAGATACGGAGGAGGCTACGGAGGAGGCTACGGAGTCATTAAGGCCTACAGATTAGGCGGTTACGGAGGTGGAGGCTACGGCGGTGGAAGATACGGAGGTGGCGGATACGGAGGATACGGCGGTGGTGGCTACGGTGGTGGAAGATATGGAGGGTACAGGGGCTATGGTGGTGGTGGCTACGGTTACGGCAAGTACTACAAGGGGTGAAGCAAAAACCATTCTGTTTGCCGTGTCTCCTGATCGAAGCAATGGCTGCGAAGACTCAAGCCTTACGGCTCTTTGAAATAGCGTTCACGTGTTTTCTCTGTGACATCGCCGCGTATGAACAAGTTGCCCTAGCCAAGGTACTTTGTGAGACGGTACAACTGGTGCCACATTTTAGACAGGGTGCTGCGAAGAATCATGCTATCTCCCTTCTATCGAATGAATGCAACGTAAATAAAGTTTCTCGTTTAACCGGGGAGACTCGTGCGTTAATTTATATGCAACAACACCATCAAAATCCAAAGACGTAAAGCCGTGTTTGCCTTGCTACAAGGACATCTGGGAGCGTACCAATAAATTTATCGGCTAAGGCGTCGCGCGGCTTAAATGGGACACGGCGCATCTGATCTTATTTGTGAATATTATGCAAGGTGAACGGCTTTCCATGCAGCACGGAAGGACACAAGAGGCAAGTGTTTAGGGTCATGCTGTGCCGATTTTATCTTCCGGTAGGCTTAGAGGACGTCGTAACTGTTATGCGTTTGCGGTCCCATCCCGTTATACTTCGTTTCACCCTAATTGTGAATACAGTAGACGCTAAATTCTAAAAAAAAAAAAAAAAAAAAGCCGTGAGTCTACTTTCCCGCACGACACTCGGAAAGCCAATCACCGCAACTTACGGAGACAGCTCAGCGAATGACGATGCCGAAACATATGTTTAGACCAAAAAACGCAGTCAGAGTTGTGACATTAAGCAATGCAAGCGTGACGTTTTGCATTGCTTAATGTCACAACTCAGACTGCGTTGTTTCGTCTAAACATATGTTTCGGTATCGTGATTCGCTGAGCTGCCTCCGTAAGTTGCGCTGATTGGCTCTCCGAGTGTTGTGCGGGAAAGTAGACATACGGGCTTTTTTTAGAGTGTACCTTAAACGAGAGCTAGAAAGTGCCAAACACAGGTCTGAGATTTATTTTTTTCTGCTTATTATTTTTTCACTTGCGTTTCTGGTTTGCGAGAGCGAGCGAACCTTCTTGAGCTCGCTTTAAGGCGGAAGATATCTCGGTTGACTCAGTTTTACAAGATCTACCTCCTCAACCATACGCTTAGAAAAATTTTACTCCCACGTCCCATTTCGTTTTTGCAAGACTAGACAACCGCAGTAAATTAGAGCTCATATTTCCCTCCACCACCTCCTACGCCAATTATTTTCTCCCTTTGACAATATTAGAATGGAATGCTTTACCTCATAACATAGTTACAACTAACAAGGTGGACGTATTTAAAAAGCTGCTCGGTGAACATTTAGGTCCCTGTGCAAACGATGCTGCGTTTTAGTATGTTAATAGAGTGTCTTCATTTTGTTTTTCTTTTTCAGTATTTATTTGTATTTTTGTTATCGCTGCTCACGGGTTTGTATCACTATGTTTCTATATTGAAATGTTTAGTTTCTCATTTCTTGTGTCGCTGCTCACGAGTTTGTATTACAGTTTCTATATTGAAACCTTAAGTTTCCCATACCTTGTGTAATGCCCTGTAGTGGGGCCTTCAAGTTGTTATGAATTAAATAAATAAATAAATCTGCTTTCCGTTCGTCACATCACGACTGGAATTTTCCTCGCCGTGAATGTCAAGATTTGCCTCGCCATGAACCAGCGATTAGGCAGGCATTATCAGTATGTAGGAAGCTGTGATGTGGCCATTTGCGAATGGCGACCTCATCACGCTTTTGGACGCGCACGTCGCTAATAGTCGTCTATAGAAAGGCAGAAACTCAAGTGCTCCCCCCCCCCTCCTCAATCTTTACTGGGAGAAAAACGGGGCCAAAAAAAGAATCTATTGAGGCATTTCCGGAACTCCCGATTTTTGAAAACCATGCCGTAATGCCGCGAGCAGGGTCAATGACTTGTAGAAAGTTCTCGTTCATTCTTGCTGCGGACATAACTTTCGTTCGTCCTTGCTTTTGTTGCTCTAGAAAGTGCTTGTTCATTCTCGCCCCGAGCGCGCTACGCTCGAACCTTCTCCGCCGAATCTTCGAGATAGTGACTCACTCTAGATAAGAGGCCGCCCGCGACCTTGTCGAGTCAGTTTCGCCCCAGCGTTCGACTCTGCTGACACGCCGACTTCGACGCCCGCGACGCTCTGCTTTCTTCTGTTTCCTTCTTTATTTTTGGCACAAGTTCGCCACATTAAACGTTTACTTATTTCTGTTTTATTTCTTGTTTATTCGTCACCACCCGTGACAATATTTCATCAAGCAAATTTGTTTATTTGTGTATTTTTTTATTGTTTTGTATTAAAAAGGTAATTGTATTTCTATCAAAGGCTGCAGAATAAAAAAAAAACATGTTTCTATCCTTTTACCTAAATTAAGCTTGACTCACCTGCACTTGAGATTTAGGTTTCATTGCGGTGTTACAAAAACTAAGTAACAATCAAACAAGTCGAATTGTGTTACGTAGTAGGTAATATAACAAGTTCAACACAGTGCACTATTTGTTGGCACAACATCCAGCATCCATATACAGAGAAGGTTTCTTCAGTTTCACTACCTCGTTTAATGACCTCCTATCATAGGTAATAAACTAAAATTTTTCCGTAAAAAGATGTCCGTGGGCGATTTATAATTCTTGCACGCAGCCGGTTGGAAAAGATGCACGAAGCCTACTTTTCTGTAGATTTTGAGGAAGTAAGAGGCAGCGATACGGAAGGGCAAGCCAACGTTTAGACTAAAACAAAATGCAATCTCAGCTGATGCACTAAAAATCTCGAATATCGTGCTAAGAGCCTCAGGAAGACGGCATTCTGGATTCGATGCGTGAGCTGGCCTTCGTTGTCCGCTGTACAACGACCCGGCAGCGGTAGATTAGATTTAAGATAACCTTTATGTGGTCTAACTTCCGTCCAAGATTAAAGAAACACAAGGTTGTCGCTGAAAGTGAA